GTTTCTACTGATTTTTCTTTTATGTCAATCCTATCGAATGAAGAAAAATCTTTAGGTTTCTGAATACCAACTAATCCTTTTTGCTCATCCATTTCAAAACTTGCGAAAGGTAGCCGTCTCGAAACTGACCTCAAAATTCACTATTATTTTTCTATCCAATCGGGACAGAAAAAAGCAGCTGAAATTTCGAGCTCAGCTCAAATAAAAAGTGCAGCCCATTCCAATAATACCATTATTGTTTTGTGGGCGAATTTGGATGGAATAGTGCCAAGTGAAATCAGCCCGATTCTGCCCAAAATGTCTTGGAACACAACCCTGGCAGTGCCATTGAGTTCTGCCTTGAAACTACCAGTAAACCCGTTTTCCTCCGAGAATTCCAACGGTAATTCCACCAGAAAGACACGATTTGGAGAAAGTTTTTATTGGGCGATTCACTAATGGAAACTTGTCAGCAAGACAATTTGAATCACTTGCACTTGCTAACGCAAATGTTGCTTAATCTTAGCAGTCAAATGGAGCAGCGGTTAAAAAACTTGAATTTGCGCTCGCACTGCGTGATAGATCGATACCTCACTGGGACCAAATGAATCTCACATCCGCTTTGGGCCGCCGATGGTTTCGCATGGTGTCCTTTGGGCCGATCCGATAATGTGGCCCGTTTGAATGCAATCCAATATGTTCAACGAAACTCCATGTTCTGGCCTGATGAACAAACAATCATCTCCGCATCTTTGGATGCGAGGCAAATGCCTGGCGCATTCCCAGCAATTTCGCATTCGCTAGCATTTGTCAGTTTTCGGGTAGCTTGCTTTATTTCTCACAGCAGCTGGAGGTAGCCCATCAGGAATTCTCTCTAACTTTTCGCGAATCTAATAGCTAGCGGGGGATTCTTCGGGTATCTTACACAAGCAATATTTCGACGATGGTGTGTCTGGTGGTCGGATTTTTGAACCCGACCGGTAACCCGGGGCAGCGGGGCGCTCAAATGACGGACGGGAAAACTGAGTGAAACATTCGACTGCACACAATCGAATGCAAACATTCCAAGCGGCTGCTGCTCGCACCACAATTATGAAAGCCTGTCCTGTTGTGCACTCGGAGCTTCGGCCGTCGTCACCTCCGCCACGATGGATTACTCAGGTAAATCGAGATCAGTTTCACACCCATTCACACCGGGTTTTGTTAGGTGTGGTCCAAAACCACCGCCACACGTGGACACCTTTTGTGCGCACGAACTGCGTGCAACGGTATTAACCCAAGGGATTATGCAGATTTCGGCCACAAGCCAGCCCATGAACGTTTATGTGAAAGTTTCAAATAGCCCGTCCGGTCGAGTATCGTACGCATTGAAATCTCGTTCACATAAAATCAGAGATGATCGATTGATCGATGATGATAACGAAGGGCAGTGGTCAACGTGTGTGTATGCGACGTTGGAGAAAGACCTTGGATAGGTGCGGCTAGGAATATCTCTCTCATCGTACGCCCGTCGTCCATCGTCGATCGTCGTACGCCTGCCTACCTGCCTGCCTCCGTGCGCTTACTGTTACGGTTACCGGAGCCCCCCACGCCCAGCAACCAGCACCCATATTCATTTCTCACTCAATCAGTTCTTTACCTGACCGACGTACCTGACTGACGTTCAGTCACCATGTCTGAAGCGACCACCACACCTCGTGCATCTGCTTCTGGAGGTTTGTTCAGTTGACCTCAGTGATCTCTTTCCTTCTGTCGACCATTTCTGGCCAACATGTCCTAGTTCTTCTCAAATTGGCTCTGAAGACCTTGAAAACCCTTGTGATATGTGTAGAACGGACCCTTGAAATCGACTAATCGACGCTTTGCAAGTAAACAGCGGTGGGTATTGTAAGATACACCTAATGACCCTCAGTATTTCAAAGCATTTTTTTTTCAATTTACATCGATTCCATGAGCCTGATGTCCCTCTGGGTTCACTTTTGCGGTCACTTTTGGCTACTTCCGGTCAGCCATGACTCAGTCTCTTCAATTAGCCAGGGAACACTAAATCCTCTCTAAAACGAGGATTTTCTTGACCCGCATTACTATTCAATCGGAATTGAGCAGTGTTGCAGACCGATTAATCCCTTAGAAGAATTAAGAAAAGAAAAAACCTTTATAAACGAAATAATTAAAATGGTTCGTTTCGCTCCTTCCTCAGACGAACCTTATTATTTCACTCCCCCCAAATAAGATTCACTTATAGAATAGATATATATTGATAATCTATGTGGGAGGATTACTCGAGTAGTCCATCAAATGAAACGGATCAATGCAAACTTTATTGAGCACTCGCTTCTAGAAAATGCAAGGGTTAAGAAAATAGTGATGTGGCAACAGATGAAGAAACCCAAAAAGAATGAAGTACTGACAGTTCTGCAATCAATCTTTATAGCCATGCTTGGCGCGCGATCGGTAGATCACTCTATGATCAATTCGTCGACGATCTCCTTGACGATGTTGTCGTCATCCCTCTGTCCCCCCCCCTAATTCCTCTCCCAGAAACTGCCTGAGTAACCAGTAAATACACTTTTATGCTGCTTTTTGCCTCATCGCCAATCTCCAGTGCCCATAAGCGAATGGAACTGTAAATTCGAAAAAACGACAGTAAATGTCAGTTGTCTTAGAATTGTCACCAGGCGCGCAATTGGGCGTCGCCGGAGCTAAGAATACGCGCTGAGCGATTGCCGCGCCCATATTGACGCGATTAGATGTGACTAATTGTGGTCTGGGTCGAACCTTGAGACGAGAAGGAATCCCCATTGAGCGAGAATTGTACGAATCCGTGAAAAAAGAAAGGTTTTTGTTTAGGCAGAGTGCTGAAGATGGTGACAGAGATGGGCTCGGCCACAATTGGCGGCATTTCACCAGCTCTGTCAGCTAACGCTGCTAAATCTTTCCTCGAGGCCACTGACAAAGAGAAGAAAGAACTTCAAGTGAGTGGAATTTCCTAGGGCGGATGTTTAGGCCAAAAATATCCCTGCCATGTTGTAGGGTTTGAACGATCGCCTCGGCAACTACATCGACCGAGTGAAGCGCTTAGAGGAACAGAACAGGAAACTGGTCGCCGATCTGGACGAGTTGCGTGGAAAATGGGGAAAGGACACCTCAGAAATCAAGGTCCGTTCCAAATTTTAGAGGATTTCTATCTATTGATTTCTTGGAGTTGTGAAGACATTTCGTGACCCTTTTTGACAAGAATTTATCGGCAATCTCTTTCAGATTAAGTACTCTACATCGCTATCGACCGCTCGTAAAGACATCGACGACTCTGCCAGAAGAAAGGCCGAGATCGACGTCAAAGTGGCTCGTCTTCGCGACGACCTCGCCGAGTACAGAAATCGGTAAGTAAGCTCGAGATCTACCAGCATCTGCTAGTCCTTCACCCACGCGATTGCCATCAGCCCTTTCTTGTCAATAGGTTTCTTTGGGGTCATTTATCGAACGATTTCGATCGCTCGTGAAATGACTTGTAAAGCGCGAACCGGTTTTGAGGCACAGTTTCGTGCCATAATCGTCTAGAGTCACGCAACCCACCCTCTCCCTTGCCACTTGACGTGCTTGTCGCCTCAGACTCGCTCCAGCTGCATTCATCACGGGGAGAGAATTCGCTTGAAGTAACCGCCATGAACAATGTTGTTTTTGCGGGGTTAAAAAAATCACAAGAAGAACTAACAGTTCGTAAGTGCCCTCATGGGTTGAGAAGAGGTCGTTTTCTTCTAAGAGGCTTTTTCAAAAGAGCTAGTTGGGGGGGGGAGGTGAGTGCGACAGCGGCATACTATCTCCAGGGGTTTGATAGACTTTTACATCGCAGCTTCTTCATACTTAACCTTCGAAGTGAGTCCATTCTGAACACATTCGCAGCCGCTGGGGTGGGAGCATATTCCAGAATTCATATGGGTCGAGTTTTACACCACTGGACGAGTAACCCTACAATTAGCTCGGTGTGAAGCTCGAACCAAACGATCCAGAATCGATACAGGGAACCACAATGATTATGCCCACTAGCGTGGGCGTTGTATTGTCCTCAATACTCACTAGAGCATGACATCGGGAAATCCCCATATTCCTTGGAATTTGGATCCGCATAGACTAGTTTTCCGTCCTCCGGTATCTAATCGCATTACGTGGAGAACCCTCTGGTTAGGACCGAACCACCTCCGAGCTTACGATCACTCAGCATTCTTCGTTCCAGCGAAGCTAACTGAAGGGTGTTCCTTCAATATTAGGGTTTCTAGGCCAAGACTTTTGAAATTTGGTGTTCTGAGAATAAAGCTTACAATGAGGCAGTTGCGACAGGGCTCTGACTGGTCAAATACTTCCGAGCAGGATCAATCGTGCGTTGAGGAATCCTCAACAGGTAGACCTAGGGGGGGAGGGGTGTCGTATGTGGCTGGGAGGAGGGGTTGGGTCGGATCGATGCCTAGGATCATCATAGTTGGAGGACAAACATCAACTATGTGGTTCGACACCTACCCCACCGCCTTAGTTCCGGCAAGGCGCAACTGATGGGATATATGAACAGAAAAGCGGAACTCAAACTGACATAACTCTGCCCGAAAAATTTCGAGTCGTTTCCGGTATTTACTTTTGAAAGTGATACTGATTATACTTCCAAAAAAACAATTACAATCAATCATCTAGCTCACTTCTGTTAGTACCAAAAGTTTTTCTCCACTGATGGTGGCAGTGCATGAGTTCTTTCCTCCTGAGGTCAGAAGTTTTGGGGAAGTCATGGACTCCGTAATTGCCTTTTTGAGCAGTATCAGAATTTCTTGAACACCTTCATACCGCTGAGGCTTGTGGAGCTCCTCTTAGGGGTTATTTCGAGAATTAATCAAGGATAGTTTCTGAACTCAAGCGGCAGGAGTTGATTTTGAAGGCTTGCCTACGAAACAACCCTTAACGAAACCATTACCACATGATTCCTGGGTAGTTAGGAATAAATCAAGAATTGGAAATGTCTGATAGGCAACAACTGTTCGTAATCGAGAGCGGTAGAAACTGGTTCAGAATAATGGATTTTGGGCAACAAGGAAACTCACTACCTTGGATTCTCTCGGAACACGTTCCATTCACGTTTTCATACAGAGTCAATATGAATATACCACGTGAACTCATTGGAGGTTGGTTGTGAACGGGGAAGAGCTTACAATGCGTTTAGAGGTTCTACGCAACAGTGGAGCGCATGGCGTATACATAACAGCTAGACCATACCGAACTTTCTGTTATATTTACATTTCTACAGCGGCCGCTTTGCGTAATTCGTCTTATTTTCAAATGCCCTTTGCCTCAATTGCCTAATTCTCATTATTCCTGCACATTGAGTTTTTTTTACAAAATTTAAATTTGAAAAATCATTAATTATATGTATTCATTAGCATGAACTTATTGATTCTGGACTTAATTTTCTCGATCTTTTTGATCCCCAAAGCAAAATTCCGAAGGTTCGTTCTTGTTTTCTTCGAAGTCCTCCGTAACGTTCACTATTGCAGATATGAGGACTCAGCACCGAGAGAAGCGGATCGAGAGAAGATCGCTCAGTGGACCAATGCGATCGCTGACGCTGAAAACGAGCTTGAGATGCTCCGTGCCAGGTATATTTTGACAAAAAGTAGGGGTTAAAACCGGGGATATAATTATTTTGAATGACAGATTTATGAGGCGAAATAAAAAACAAGCAATAAATCAATAAATAAATCAATTAAATCAAATCAAAACTGAGATAGGATTTACTAAGGCATCTTTGTTCAGATGGAAGCAGCTCACTGATGAGGAGAAAAGTTTGAATAACGACAACGCTCGCATCTGGGAGGATCTTCAGAAAGCCAGAAACGTACGTTAATCTCTCGACACGAATCCCTGGCAAGTCTTACCGCTGTTCTTAAGGATTCTTCTCATGAAGAAACGATGGCCGTATCGATTTCCAAAACCAAGTACAAACACTTATGGAGGAACTCGAATTCCTTCGCAGGTTGGACAATTATTGCCTACCGTATCACTCTTTCGAATAAGCTTGTTAGGACTGGGCGGGAGTTGTGTGATGACCGCATTGGGTCTCATCCGGTAATTTAATACAAAGGCTGAGCGTGCGTTTGGGCACCGCTTCAACGACGCTCTCACAAATAATTTCCATCGGCGTTGGGTTCAAACTTTTGGTTCCTTCTAGACCATTGTGACGTCCTTGCCTTAAGTTGTGCATAGCAGCCTAGAGCTTTATGCATTAATGCCAAGGCTTCGACGACCAGCTAGATTGCTTTGTCGGCAGAAAAACCCTCATTTTAGGGTCCACAGGCAATAGATAGCTCTACATATTTAACAATAAATAAAATGGGGCGGAAGTGGTGTAGTGACAAGTGGCGCGCTCACCACGCGAGCGGTCCGGGGATCAAATCCTGGGTCGTGAGTCGCCCGGGCCAACCAAGCCTTCCATCCCTCCGGGGTCGGTTAATTGGTACCAGACTTGTCTGGGAGGATAAAAACACTGACTTGTACATCGGCTGGCCCCCGCAAGTCATTGTATAGGCCACATCGCATTCAAACGCCACTGCGAATGTACAAATGGAAGTAGAATGCGTGCCGCATCCCAAAAAGGGATTGATCAACGGCAAATGCTTTATCCTTTTATTTATCTTTTTCAGAGTCCACGAACAAGAGGTCAAGGAACTGCAAGCACTTCTCGCTCAGGCACCAGCCGACACCCGTGAATTCTTCAAGAACGAGCTGGCTCTGGCCATCAGGTATGGTACCGGGAGACTGATGCTCCAGACGAATCCCTCTAGCCAACAAACACCGTTCCTTTCAGAGACATCAAGGACGAGTACGACTACATCGCCAAACAGGGTAAACAGGATATGGAAAGTTGGTACAAGCTCAAGGTCAGTAGTCCCTGCTCTACCGACCCTGGACGTACCTCAGAAATCTTATTGACGGTTTCAGGTGTCGGAGGTCCAGGGCTCAGCAAACCGTGCTGCCATGGAATCGACATACCAACGCGAGGAGGTGAAGAGAATGCGCGACAATATTGGCGATCTTCGTGGAAAACTTGGCGATCTCGAAAACAAGAACGCACTGCTTGAAAAGGAAGTACAGAATCTCAATTATCAAGTAAGTAATATTTTTGGTTCTTCTTCCAAGGCTACACCTCTTATGAGGTTATTTTTTATATATTTTGAAACGTTCACCTAAGTTGTGTTAAAAGACCAACTGTTTTACAACCGTCTTGAAGGTCTAATAGTTCCATGTGGATTTCCTAATTTCTTTTTTCATTTTTTCTCAGGTAATATGTTTACTAAAACATGAAAAATTAGCTGGAAAACAAAGTTATCGTTTCCGGGTTTTATGGGGAATCCTTGATTCACAGCTATTACTTCCAATTTTCCAACATCTCTGATCTGTGGCATCACTTTGGACTAAGGATTAATGTGTTCCTAATTCCATTCCTCTTTTTTTTACCAACTGACGTTCCATTTCAACATCTCTCAAACGTAATCATTAGCCTACGAGTTCAGCATCAATAAGTGGCCACACCTTGCAATTCAGCGTTGCGGTCGCGTCGCGGCTTACCACATGATCCCATGGGTGTTTTAATAGGATGTGTGATGATGTTACCTGGCAGCTGCCACGTTCACTAACACTTACACACTTAGGTGACACGACACTTAGATGACGTCGAAAAATCTCTCCCACGTCTCTAGTCAAACGACTGCATTATGCGACACTACTGCAACGCATACGCGTCGCTTGTGTGTCACTAATGCAGGCAGTGAACTCTCTAAAAATAACCATAGTTCCAAATGATAGGAAAAATTCGCCTGTCCGAAATTTACTGTTAAATTTGGATAGTTCTTGGAGAGGAACTACTATTCAGGAGTCGAGTCTAGGCCTTAGGCCTTTCAACCTTTTAAGCCCCAGTTCTGTTTTCGATTTCACCCATTTCAGCTTAGCGATGATCAACGACAATACGAAATGGCCCTTAACGATCGTGATGCCACTCTTCGCCGAATGCGTGAAGAATGCCAGACACTGGTGAGTAATAACTCGTGACCCGTCCTAGTTCACTGGGAAAATTCGAGTAAAATCGATCGATTTGATTTAGGTTGCCGAATTGCAAGCTTTGTTGGATACCAAGCAGATGTTAGATGCCGAAATTGCTATCTACAGAAAGATGCTGGAAGGAGAAGAGAGTCGGTGGGTGAAGTGTTCATAACGATTGATTATGGCACGGTTTGAAAAATAGTTTGTAGGGGGGGGGGAGGTGGAGTCTCCATACTGTCCTACTTTTCCTTCAATACTGGCGGGTTGACCGCGATAAGTGCCTCTATTTCCTGCTAACTTCTCGCATCCTTTTATTAGCTGGGGAGATTGTTGAAGGATCAGAAACAGGGCACAACGCGGCTTCGGGAGGGGGCAGGGGACTCGGGAGGGGGCAGGGGACAGGTTTGTAGGGAGGTCGCTAGAACTAAGCCTGACGGGAAGGGACGACTTCCGGAGAGAATGAAAACTGCCTACGCAACGGATTCCCTCTTCTCCTCTAAGGCTTAGTTCTTATCTGAGCGTTTTCCCGAATTTGACGCAATTTTACGGATTGATCCCCCGGAGCCATATTGCACCAAAAACTAGTGAAGGGACCTTTTGAAACTTGGCGTAGACTTCTTATGTTTTCCTTTTTTTGCGTTTTCACTTTTTTGAACAACGGGCGGAATTTCCGTCTGGTATGGCCTTCTTTCAATAACCGCCTGTCATTTTTTGCCACCTCCCCATCATACGCATTCGCCTGTCATTCTATTGGGCAGGAATCGTTTAACTTTTTCCAATCCTGTTCATGAATGATGGGTTCATCCACCTAAGCGACAGGATAATGAAAGAGCTATAAATCGATTCGGAATTCGTTTCATGGTTAGGGAGAAGCAGCTTGCAGTTCGTAGCGCTCAGGTATCAACAAGAGAGATGAATTTTTTCCTACTCCCCCCTTGGGGGCCAGCATGTCGTTAGACGTATGAAATAAATGAATAAATAGAAATTGTAGGTAGGCATGATAAAGAAGGTTGGAATCGATGGCATAGATGGTTCAGTTCACAAGCTGCGTCGCACCGCTACACGTCCGAAGCCGGGATTGGATCCCCTAGGCCAAGCGATACTTCATCCCTCTAGGTTTGGTCGATAGGCACCAGACCTGACTGGGGATTGAAATTAGTGACTCATTTATCGATTAGAAGTTCTGTGTAGGTTGGGTGGCACATATTCAGAAATGCCACTTCGGTACCATGTGAAAGTTGGATGCGTGGCGCATCCAGAAACAATTTGAACATCGCCAAAAGCTTTATTTTTCATTCTTTTTTGATTGAATGTTTCTCCACAATGATCGGATAGACCGAAAACGTCGATTTCAGTGTTGGTCTTCGTCAGATGGTCGAACAGGTTGTGAAGACGCACTCGTTGCAACAACAAGAGGACACCGACTCGACACGTTCCGTACGTGGCGAGGTCTCCACCAAGACCACATTCCAGCGTTCTGCAAAGGTACGGCGACGATTTGACCTTGATTTAATCACTTTAATTGGTTTAGCGTCCATTAGCAATCAAATAGTGACCTAATCCGATCTCCGATCTTTCGCCTTGTTGTAGGTAGCCTTCCAACTAAATTCGGCCATATG